TTAAAGCCCCGCTTTCACTCATAATCTCTATCAAGTCTGCCCCAGTCTATCCATTTGGCCTAAAGGAGAAGCGGCAGAACGTGGCTTTGATAAACTCAATTCCACACTGACAAGGCGGGATCAAGTCGATGGAAGGGGCTGAACGCACAGCAGACACAGCCAGATGGAGAGAGTCTCAAAAGATTTCTGCAGAGTCAAGAAGTTTTTGTCTGCTGCTGACTCACCAGGTGTGTTGAAAAGAAGTCTTTGGTTCAGTGTGTAAGAAAGTCAAAGCTATAAAAAGTTTTACTGCTGATAAAAGCAGCATGTGTCTGTCTTAAGATTTAAATAATAAAAGTACCATATGGAAACTTTTTCTGCAATCAATAATTTCTAACAGAAACAAGTTGAAGGGCTAGTTACACATCTTTAAAGGAGAATAACACTAACAATAAACTTGACTAATACATATGCACCATAGCACACGGGTTATTCAGTCCTTCCAGAAAAATGTGTTTGTGAGTTTTTTTGTGATTGTTGCGGGCAAAAATCGGGAACTTGCAAAAACTGCGGTTTGATGAAAAAGAGAGAAAAAAAGTGATTCCCCCAACACCCTGTTCTCACTAGGCTACTACCTTAATGTAAAGAGTCATTTCTTATTACTTCCTATGATAAGCAAGCATACTACATCACAGAAAGTGTTGGGAATATTTAAGTTCTCATCTTGTTTTATTTCAGACCTTAATAAACACATGGCTCAAACTTACAAAACATTGATGAGTCAAACAAGTTCTGTAGCTTTACAAAAGGAATATGCTACAACTTCTGTAAAAATGAATAAATAAAATATGAGACTGATTTGCGGGATTCATCATGGCTTCATCGCGGGGTTTGCAGCTTTTCGTTGATGTTCGCGTCGCCTAATACGTCACTTCATAACGTTCCCATGGTAACAGGGGGAAATTGCTGCTCTTGTGTGAAGTAAACGCAACATTTTTCAACTTTCTGCTAAGATATATGTGACTTTTTTCTGCAACGAAAATGCGGGGATTATGAAATCATGCAAGCCCCGCATATTTTGCGCGGAAATCGGCAATTTATGCGGCGAAAGTGCGGCGTATTTGAAAAAAATGCGTAAATATGCGGACTGATTATTACATATTAAATGTCTGTGGAAGCCAATGTACAACCGTTTACAATTTCATGCCTTCCATACAGTTGCTTTACAGTTGGCCTAATGGCAACAGCTCATGTCCTGCCTACAGAAATAGCTTGGCTGTCCATGAATATGTCTGGCAGCCCTTCAATACAGCTGAAATTCCTTCGCTGACCCTATTTAGAAAGCCAACATGGTTCCAACATGCACACCGAGCCCTGCAGCTTGAAGGACAAACAAACTCTGACCATATTACACTTTGACAAGAGACACACTGGAACATACATACTACATACAGATGTTTTTATAGATGGCACCGCTTTCACTTATACTAGTCTTAGAGTATACTTTGATCAAACCTCATTCCATTTTAAGAATTTCACACAGAAGCGAAATGGGATGGAAATCTGAAGTGTTACCAGTATGGCCACGTATAATTATGAATTATAGGTTTAATACATTGATTTTTAGTAACATGTCCTTGGGTTTGCAAATGTTTATTCCTACAGCAGACCTGTGGCATACATTTCAGGCTGGAAAGGTTAATAAGGAAATCTTTATGTATCTATAACAGTTATTTCCATTATTGATTAATCGAGTAATAGGTCTCTTAAATATTATAAAGCCGTGAAAAAGGCACAGTGCAATCCGCAAGTTGACATCTTCAAATTGTACTGACCAAAAGTCAAAGATATTTTAATTTAACTTCATAGAAAAAACATTGGAGAAGTTGATTCACTAGGGTTTGCATTACTGTATACTGTACAGTAACAGGCTAATATTCGGAGATGCTTATTAGCGTTTGACTCTAAAATGGTGCAAATTACAATGTTTAAACATTATGTGCTCTTTTTGTCAAATGCACAAGAATAATACTATTGCCACATTGATCCAATACTTACAAATAAGCTAAAGATTTGGACTAGACTCCTGAAACAATGAAAATTAACGAAGGCAATGTCACACAGCCCTTGCATAACCTTGCAGCTTGAATATTCAATTATCAGGTCCGTGCATTGAAATGCCTCACTTTGTAAATACACCATTAGCACAGCTTTGAAAACAAACGCTGGTATTAATTAACACCTGAGAGACCTGAGAGACTCTTCTCCTGACTTGTAATTTGCATAAGACTTAACTCGGCCAAAGAGGCTTAAAAAAGGCTGTTCTGCAGCAGTCTCAAGGAGAATGATCTCCTTATAAAAATACAAAAACCCATCATCCTTAAAAGATGACCATCTCTGGGCAGATGAAGACAGACAGCCCCCGCTCTCCATTTAAAACACACTTTGAGCTGCATGTCTTTTTCTCTCCTGCTGCTGAACACACTTCACAGCGGACTCAAAGTAGTGTGTTGAATATTTGAAAGAGGTCTGCTTGAATGCATTCATCAGTTCTGAGGCTACAGAAGTGACAGGTTACATTAAGGAGGACCTTTACAGTTTTCAAATAAGTACTTTGGATCTTGCATCTGCTCCACTCCCATCCTCTTACCGACGACTGGTGGTCTTGGAAGTCGAGAACGCCTGCTGGCTAACAGACGACTTGGTGCTCAGGTAATAGCTGCTCTCATAGTGATGCTGCTGCTGCTGCTGCTGCTGTTGATGATGATGACGATGATGCTGCTGCCGCAGCTGCTTCTGCATCACTTGTAATGATTCTGACATCCTGAGGGCCACTCCGCCAACTTATAATATCAGACTTTCCTTTACTTTACCAGCTCTGTAAATCAATCTCATCGTTATTATTACAGATTGATTTCTGAATTGGGAAGTTAGTTTAGAGCAGGAGATGGTGATTAGGTATTAGGGATGGTGGTTTAGGCACCCAGTTGTTAAGATGGCGTCATGATTTTATGTTTTCAGTGAGCAGTTAAGGCGTTAGCTCTGGTTAAGATCTACTTCTACTGTGCTAAATGAAAGCAGCAGGTAATAAACTGTGGCAGCATCGATGTCTAAACACTCTTCACAATCTTGGTTTTGTGATTTTGTGATTTAAATGACAGTCACCTCTACAGGAGGAATTCTAAAAGTAATATGATATTAAAGAGGTGTTATGTAATCCAGTGGTTGATGGTAAGATGTTGTGTTTGGGAATGTCTTGTCAAAAAAGTATTGATATACTAGTAAAAGTAATACCTGTTACACTCGGTTAGGTGGAGGCTGCAACGAATGATTGTGGTCATTGTAGATTAAGGTTGTTGTCGGCAGTGATTATTCAAATAATCGTTTGGTTTACAAATAGTAAAAAATACCCTTCAAATCTTAATTCCAATGTCAATGTCAACTTATGCAAAATTATATAGTCCAAAAATATTCAGGTGTCACTGAAAACAAGCAAATATACACTTTTGAGGAGGTAGAACAAGTTACTTTTTTTTGTGCCATTTTTGCTTAAAAAGTCAATCAATTGATTCATATTTTCAGCTCTAGTAGGCACTACTTAAGTCACACAGCTTGAAAACATGAGCAGCTCCCACTGGGAACAGGCCCGTCATCATGTTACCACACAACAATAAGGGAATTATTAGATCTGCAGTTTTATAAATGTATTTTCTGATTGTTATGCCTTTGAGCAACACCAGGAACAGTCAGCTTACTGTTTGCCTCTTCATCTGTGAAGAGCTACAAACTGTAAACTGGACTGGAAGCCATGAGGGAACAGAGTTTATTAAGAGAAGATCTCAGTCACAAAAACTTATGCAAATGTTAAATGAACAAATAAGCTCTTTTTTTTTTTAGGATGAAATTTCACTTCAATGACACATGCAGTCTAATCTATAAGGACACAGCAGCAAATTAAAAAAAAACCCTGTTAGCATAAGGGACAATAAAAATATCCGAATTAAAACATATAACAGAAAATGATTAAAGTGGTTAAAAGAAGGCCTCAGGCCTTATGTCTCAGGATTATAAAACACCAAACGACATAAACTAGAACTATTATTCAGTATTAGAGAAAGACTTATTAATTAGGAAAATATTTTTATAGATCACTTACCACAAATAAGAATTCACCAATCCACAATAGTTGTAAATAAGAGAAAAGGTGTGCTATTCCAAAAGTAGCTAAAGCAAGTCCAGATCCAGGCAAAGCAGCAGGGTGAGGGGCAGTGGACAGGACGGCAGTCCACAGAACAAAAATAATGCTGCCACTCGGCAGAATGCACAAGACACCGTCAGGACCTTTTAAGGCTGGGACAGCTTTAAATTTAGACCATGAGACCATGAGAAGGGCCCGGCGAGCTGAGGAGCCTCTGCAGGGCCTGGCCCTCCGCTGTGTGCGCTACCTCAGGGGGAAATGTGGGCATTTTCTGGCGTCTAAGTCGTAGGTCTGGGAATAGAAGGGCTGCAGTGGCTGCTCTGGGGGACTTGAATTATTCCAACGCGGACTACTTGTCCTGTACTTGACGTTCAGACGACGGACAAAAAAGCCTGAACCAAAACCCTGTCAGACACATGTATTCACCGGCCAACTTTAATGGCTGAGCTGCACCGAAATGTGACCTCAACGCGCTTTAGATTCATCATTTCCCCCTAAACCGACAGTTCAGTTCCCCACCTTACTTGTTTAAGACCACTATGCATTCAATCTGTTGTGTAAAATCGTGTACTAGTTAACGCACACCACCACTGAATATTGACATAAGAGAGTTTGCTTTGGGCTCGTTTGTTAGTAGTTGCTGCCACCTGCTGGTGAAACATGTAAACTACAACATTTGTCATTTAGACAAATCGCTCAAACATAAACACATCATCAATACAAGAGCTGTGCTTGTGTGTGAAAATCCTAATTCTTTTTAAACGAATGAATCTGGTCCAATCAGGTCCAATGTAAAATAAATAAACAAATAGGCCTCAAGGAATATTCCAGGCTGTTGGCTACTTCCGGCTCTGCTGTGATTGGCCAGGTTGGGGAGAGAGGAAATAAAACATTGATGGTTCTTCCTCATCAGCCTGTGGATGCTCTGCTAGCTGTGTGCTCAGCTGTTTGGCAGTAACGCTTCATTCTCAAAGGTGGGTGATTGAATTTGCTTGAGTTGTCTCTGCCTCTGAACCCTATAAGCATATTAAAGCCAGTCTAGTTGCTGTTCCTCCTGTGAGTTGGCCTCTGTTGGCTCGCTGAGCTGAGCTAGCTCGGTCTGGTCAGTCAGGTATTTAGGTCAACAGAGCTGAGTAGTGCTCGCTCATAGTAGGTGAGATGTTTTGGTGAGTCCAACCTGTGATTTCTGAGGCACACAACTATGCTACAGCTCGAACATAGCTAATGTGTCTCTCAAATCAATACATTCATCTGGGTTTGTTGTTGTTGTCGGCTGATTTGTGTCCTGCTAACGCTATCATCGTTTGTTGTTGTGAGAGTATGACTCAGAATCACTTCTATTGACCTGGTGTGTGTGTGTGTGTGTGTGTGTGTGTGTGTGTGTGTGTGTGTGTGTGTGTGTGTGTGTGTGGAGAGAGAGAGAGAGAGAGAGAGAGAGAGAGAGAGAGAGAACAATGCAGACACCGAATAACATAAATAAACAGGACAACAAGCTCAACAAACTAGACATAAACTGCTATGTATGTATGTGTTTATGTATAAATATGTATAAACATAAACAACAACAACAGCATTTGTAGACAGTAAGACAGTAGTACAGTGGTGCAGAGTGAGAAAGGATGCTGACATGAATATTTTTGTGCATGAGGAAGACTCATATATGACCATATATATATATATATATATATATATATATATATATATACAATATGCACAGCATGTATAGATGTGTTTTAGTGATGATATTTATGTTTTTGAGTTTTAAACAATTAAACTACATAGTTTACAGGTACAGAGAATACACAGGGTTATTGCACTGAGACACTAGACAGAGATGTAAACCCATTTAATTGAATTGCCAACATTGTGGTTCTCTTAGCAACTTTCCTCTTTGCAGTGATAGGTAAATATCCAATATCCTAAATGAGTACCGCTATATCAGCTGACATCCAGCCGGTTAACCAAACAGTCATCTCAAACTGATGCCCTGTTCCTCTCTGTGTGGATGAGTTTGCTTGACTGAAGCTGGCTTTATATTATCAGGCGCTAGTGCAGCCTTATTTACAATTATATGGATGATGAAACATGTCCAAGGTGAACTCTCGGTCATTAAGTAAGTTTTAAGTGTCATTTGGCTGTATTGAGACCAGTAGAACCATAAAACATGTTAATTGATTAGGACATTTTAATGGGGGAGTCCTGAAATTGTACGTATGACCGAAACAGTCAATTCAGTTTAGTTCAGTTTTAGTTACTCTTTTTATTATAGGTAAATTACAGTACATAAGATTAAATACTGAACACAGTTTGCTAGTAATTTATGGATTCGAGTGTTTCTGCTATCCACTCTTGTTGACTTTCATTTCAAAACAGAAGTTCACTAGTACTTAAGACAGCTTCTTCTAAAATGAACAAATCAATCCTATAACTGCATAAAAAGGACAAAGTTAGCTGGACAAGAAAATGTGTTTTTCTTATTTTATTTATTCTGTACTATAACTGTCATCTTGTTTTCACTTTTTGCCATATTTGATGTTTATGGTGCCATTACAGTCCAGTCAAGCCAGAATAAGGAAGAATATATACAAACATTTGCTGTTATCGAGATATATTTGACGATAGTGATATGTGTATAAGATCATATTGTCACGCTCTAGTTGACAACCTTCGTATCATCTGCATTACAGGAGAGGGGGACCTACCAACCGCAAACATGTCAAGCAAAAGGGCCAAGGGAAAGAACACCAAGAAGCGTCCTCAGCGTGCCACCTCCAATGTGTTCGCTATGTTTGACCAGTCTCAAATTCAGGAGTTCAAGGAGGCCTTCAACATGATTGACCAAAACAGAGATGGTTTTATTGACAAAGAAGACCTTCATGACATGCTGGCCTCATTAGGTAAACCTTACAGTATATTTAAATACATTTAGACATAAAATAGTAAGTGCTATTATGTTCTCTGCGCGAGTATTGGTTGAGTGTCATTAACTCTGGTTATTTCCCAGGTAAGAACCCCACAGAAGAGTACCTGGAGGCAATGATGAATGAAGCACCAGGCCCAATCAACTTCACAATGTTTCTGACCATGTTTGGAGAGAAGCTGAACGGCACTGATCCCGAGGACGTGATCCGTAACGCTTTTGCCTGCTTTGACGAAGAGGGCACTGGTGAGTTTTGGAGTTTTCTGTATATTTTGAACATGCACTGGACCTTGTGATGCCAGACTCGGTGCTTTTAGGACAAGTTTTAGTTTTTATTAAAAGTATTCTTGAACAAAACAGTTGAATCCTCAAAGGCAGCCAAATAAATGGGATCACTTTTCTCTGTTCTGAATTCAATATCATTATTTTCATTATTATTTAATCCGACAACTTCTAAAATCATTCAATTGTGAAAATGTATTAAAACTTTTTTTTGTTAAATGTATTTATTTAAATAATCGATTTGCTATTTGTTTACTCACACAGATGTATGAATAGGTTGGGTTGGAGGGATAATAGGTATTCAGAAACAGAAAATGTTGGAATATTTGTATTACTGTTGTATTTTTATTTCTGATATAAAAAGAGAAAATGGTGAAGAATGTCAAAGAACTAAAAGTTATGTAAATAATCATTATGTATAACACAGAAAGTTGGCTAATTTAGAGAAATTGTAACAAGCAAGCTGTTAACATTTTGTCTTGATAAGTGAGTTAAATGGTTGTTTCCAATATTTTTTTTTTCTGTAAATCAACTAGATGAATCGACTAATTTAAGTTAATTTTGGTGTGCTTGTTTTAATGGTAATAGCCTCAACCTGGTATGCTTGATGTTCCTCCTTTACCTCCCTTTCTATATTGGAATTAATAATCCAATCTTTTCCCACAGGTATGATCCAGGAGGAGTACCTGCGGGAGCTGCTCACTACGATGGGAGACAGGTTTACGGATGAAGAAGTGGACGAGCTCTTCCGAGAGGCGCCCATCGACAAGAAAGGCAACTTCAACTATGTAGCATTCACACGCATACTAAAGCACGGCGCCAAAGACAAAGACGATTAGCGACAGAGGCGACTCTGGAGAAGGTTTATTCTGTACTTTACGTGTATCTTTAATGGGTCTCCACTTAGAACAGCTATATCCTGTTATGTGGCTCATGATAAGCTTCACTGTGGTAAAGCTCACTGAAGGTCATTTGTTTAAGCTGCTTGTTGGACCATACCTGGACCCCCCCCTCTACCCCCCTCAACCCAACTCCTCAACCCTACAGTACTCTGAAAGCTCATTTGCACATCTGTGAAAACACCACTAAATGGTCTGTATAAGCTAGTAAAGATGTATGAAAAGACCCCCATAGATAAAGCTGGAAATAAACTGCAACAAGGAGTCTGTTACTGCGACTGGTTTGGTTTTACTGAATCATTTGTATTTTGTAGGAAATTAAAGAGATGAAATCACCAACGCTCCATTCATTTTTCAGGTTTTATTTTAAAACAAAGCAAAATTGGTTTGATGTGTTGGTCTTAGTGAGGTTTTAAAGCAATACCAATTCCACAGTTCACACTAGTTTTAAAGCTACACAATTACACAGGATCAGTCACTGGATTTAACAAAAGGTGCTGACTCTCAATGTGGAATAATGAATATACACTATATGGCCAAAAGTATGTGGACTGTATTGTAATTCTTAGGGTCATTTTTAATGTCATGGCCTAGGGTTGAAACCATTAAAAAAAAAAAAAAACCCATTTAACTTTATAAGAAAAGTAACATAACATTTTCCTGATGCCATCACATTGACATGGTGACATTGTGGCAACAGCTGATTTTCTGAGGACATTTTCCTCTTACAACATGAAAATGACCCCTGTGCACAAATGGCGGTTCATGGCACAGAGCCATAACATAACATCCAGCACCTTTGGGATGAATTGGAACTCCAGCTGTGAACTTATGGGCCTGACCTCACTGACGATCCCTGGAGCCAGGTTCCAAAAAGAAAAGCCTTCCCAGGAGAGTTGATGAGAATCTAATACTTGGTAATGTTTGGGTGTCCACATACTTTTGACCATGTGTGTACATATGGAACACTCCACAGTTGGTACATCACAAGGAGCAAGAAAAACAAAACAAATTTTCTGAGATACTGGGTGATGAACATTAACTTGATACACATTTGGCCATGTTTGGATGCTGTAAGGGGATCTACATAATTTACCACAATTCAAAGCACCTCTGATCCTTTCACAGTGTGACTGTGGTTACATTGAGGAGCACTTCACATCTGTCTTAAACCCAGAGAACGTAGCACAGATGTCCCCAGCATCAGTGCCGATAACCAGCCTCCTTCTGTTCACAGGGTTCTCTGTGATGAGGGCTCTCTCATACACATCACACCAACAATAAATAGACAAGGAGCTGCCCCACACCTGAAGTTTTCTGTACACTTTGCAGTTGCTCACAGAGCAATGTATAGGACATGATATGGGAGACTGTAGCTCTACTCCGCCAGGGCAAGATTTTTCGACTGGATCTTTGATAGGTGGTCTGATATACACGCCTCGATCTTGTCACACTGGGCCAGGAAATCCTATTGACGGGAAATAAGCACATTTATATATGTCAGTATCCTCGGTGATTTTCAATGAAAACTTTTTGGTGACACTGGAAAAAAGGAGTTTACCTGTACTGTCTTAACAAGTCCCTTTTTCTTGATTCGGCAGTCATTGAAATTATCAGGAAGACTCTGTTAAAAGAAGTAGTTTGTTATGACACATTAAAAAAAACATGCACACAAAAATAAACACCTGAAAATAGATTACCAAAGCATCGATCTGCTCCAGGATCTTCATGAACTGTTCGGCTGCTATTTTCACTCTGTGGTCTAGTTTACCCAACGCCTCCGCCTGGAGGTCTTTGGCTAGGAAGCCCTGCGTAAGAAATGGGTGATAATTAAAGATTTTTTTTACAGAAAACCACAAATGCAGGATCATTCTGCATCTTAAAAACAGATAACTGATTGCTTACATTCTTGAGTCCAGTCAGCTCCCCGTCAACCTTCTCCAGTTTTTTAGCCGTCTGCTCCACAGACTTCTCGATATCTTTCAGCTTCTTCAGCTCGGCTTCTTCCTCAGGACTGTTCTGTTTGTAGATTATCGTCAGTATTTGATTACACATACGGTCATACATCAGAGACATCACATATGTGCCTTACCCGCTTTCCAATCATCATGAGTTTGCAGCCTTCTTTTAGTCCATAGCTGGACAGACTCTCCTCCATCTCCTTCAGTGATTTTCCTGGAAAGCCATGTGGATAAGTCAAGGTTAGAGCCTGATACAGACTATTCTATGTAAGTGAAAGAAAAGCGAGACCTACAATCTACCTTTAAAGATGATTTTCTGTGAGTTTTGTGGAACCCCGGTGGCTTGAGTGAGAGCATCCGACAGGTCTTTGACAGTAGGGCCCTTGCCATCATCCTGGCTGGTTAATGTGATGCTGTGCTTAGTGGATCCTGGAGAGGAAGAAAGAAATTATAGCAGCAACATGAGTAACATCTAAATGATGCTTTGAATCTGTCAAGCTGAATGCAGCTAAACTGAATCACAAGTTAGTAAATGACACATAATGGCAAAGTATTGGAGCATTCTCTGTATATTACAGAAAAACTGCTTTACAGTAATCTCTAATTCTAATTAAAGATCTAAGAAAAGACACACACACACACACACATATAAAAAATGACTGAGATTTCAGATTTACAAAAAAAAGACAGCTTGTATTAAATCAGATTGCAGTATATTAATTCGAGCACAATGTTTTAGTGTGTATTCAGGAATAAACTATTCAAGTGAAATAACTTAAAGTTCGCTGTTAAAGTGAGTTACTCGCAAATGTTTGGTAAGAGCTAGCTACACTAGCCAGACATTTCGTAGCTACTCGGACGATGGTTAGTAAATTGAACATTTTTATGTCCATCTATCATCTGATAATAAGCATGTAACATCATATAAAATCGTATTACCGTATGCAACTGTCACTGTTATCGTTTGCTCTGACATTTTGCTTTTTAATGTCCTTTAATCACAGCATAAATCACACTGCTAACTGTAGCTGATTGCTAACTACTTCCGGGGCAGACAGGAAACAGTTCTCCTAAAGGTTTTATTTGTTACTTTATTTATTTATTTTTTATTAACAACTCTTATATATTGTTAACAATAACACACACGGAATATGCACACACAAAACCGATCATACAAGTGATATAACATGAAATTATCTCAAAAAAAAAAAAAAAAAGCGCATATAATGTATCGAACATATTCAAAACCTTTTCGCGCATTTATTTAGTTTTTCCACAAAAAAAGTGTGTTGACATATTTAAACAAATATCGGCAAACGTACACAAAATGTTTTTTTTTTCATGACGTAAAATACTTGAATTTGTCCGTCAATGTTCAATAAAGTTTTTCACCTGGCTCTGTGGCGCAATGGATAGCGCATTGGACTTCTAGTCAAACACTTGAGGAGTGATTCAAAGGTTGTGGGTTCGAGTCCCACCAGAGTCGGATTTTTAAAAGAACTTCTGTTGACTTCACCCCCAGTCCTCAAAACTGCACATTGAACGACATACGTGCAGATTTCAAACTAGGTCCCTGTGCACGTCTTTAGTTTATAATACCGTAACCGGAGGAGCCATGTTCCTCTGATGTAAACAGGTTTACACTGACATATGTTACAGATGTCTCAAGGGACGTAGATTCACCGAATTAGGGTGGAAGAAACTTTTTAGCAACCTAGAAGGAATTAACACTCTAACTAAAAGTTTAAAACTAGATATTTTATGAGCTGATTCCTGCATATTGAATACATGTTTATTTGATTACTTGTTAACTGGTAAATAAATAATAAATGTAGGATTAAATATTACAAAATTACTAAAAAAGCAATAATAAAATATAATTTCAAACCAGATGGTTTAAAACAGCATTTAGGTGTTTTTGTGAAGAACTACTATGCTTTTCAATGGTGGCAGCGTGTTGGAAAAAAGGCCAAGACTATTCCTCAATAGTTTTGCAGGAGGACACTGAAAGACTGCATAATTCAGCTGTTGCTATTGTGTTTGTATACATACTAATATTTTTGTGTGTACTGATTTCATTTCAGTGTATTCATTTATTCAAACAACTGCCTTTGTATTACTGTGACATTATTGCTTTATCATAATATTGTTGATTAGAATGGTAGTTTAGTTTTTCTCAAAGTACAAAGAGGAATTATATTTAAAAGAAGAAGGAAACATGAATGTGGGCACTAAATTGTAACAAATAGTTCTTTCAAACTTCACTTAAATCCACAAATATTAACATCATGGTGGTGCTAGAGGAAAAGTCATGGGATCACCAAAGTCATTAAGACAGCAACACTACACACATACTACATTTTGTTGATGTTGACATATTTCACCAGCTGGTGGCGCTATTGGAAATTCATCCTGTTGGCATCCATTTGCACCAAATTTCATGACAATCCATCCAATCCTTGTCAAGATTAGAACCTGAGCAATATGGGATTTTCGAGAACGATACCCATTTTTGAGGGAAGTAATTCACTCATCACATATCCCATATGAGGTACTCAGAAGGCTGCTCTCTTAAACAAATAACTTTATTTAACAATATTTGAGTTAAATATCGGATTGGATTGTAAATCACAGCGCACTCTGCTGGATAAACCTTGCAGTGACACCAATATATTAACACAAGCATTTGATTCTGCATTATATACCCTAAAATCATATTGGTGCATATATCGGATAACATAAAGGCTGATACCAATACAGTACTAATATGTCTGCAATAGTCCACCACGGCTCTAATAAGGATATTTCATTAAAACCCAAACATGGTGCTAGGGGCAAAGTCAGGGAACCCACCCTCCCTGGGTAACTTGAATGTCTGTGCAAAGTTTCATGGCAATTGACTCAAAAACTGTTGAGATGTTTCAGTCGGACAGACCAACATCGCCATCTCTAGAGCCATCGTAGCCGGACTAAAAACATGTGGCTGAAGTAGTGTTTCATCTAGAATGTTAACTGTCATGTTAGAATGGAATGAAGAATGGAATCATATTAAATAGAGAGAACTCCCTGTCTGGAAACATTATTACCACAAACCTGTTGTAGTGAGAGCACAAGAGTTAGAGAGAGAGAGAGTATATCAACAAAACAACCAACAATGATCGAAAGAGAACGAATTTTCCTCCGTACTGAAATGGGTCAGTTTCATCAAACCTTGATGAAACTGACCACGGAGGAGAGAAAGAGGGAGGTCAGACGACAAATGCATGTCGAGCTGAGAGTAATGGAGATGGAGCGCAGAGAAAGAGTCGCTCTGGAGACCATGCTGAAGATGAGGCAGGAGGCCAATCAGAGAGAGGAGGAGGAGGGGGAGGAGGAGGAGGAGGAGGAGGAGAGGGCGAGTGAATTAGAGGCCCTGGAGAAAACAAAACAAGACAAACTGGAGAAAGAGAGTCTTCAGTGGTCGAAGGAGGAGGAGCAGGTCAAATGGCCCAAGTTCACCATAGATGATCTGAAAAAAGAGCAACAGAGGAGGCGAGAGGAGGCTGAGCTCTGTCGTCTGCCAGAGGTGGGAGACCACGCCAGCCCAGAGTGCCTGACCCTTGACCTGAAGGCCAAGGAGCCATTGAAAAAGAGAACTCTGCACAACAACTGGGTTGGAGAGCAGAAAATGGACAGTGAGCCTGTCAAAGAGAGGTGCCACAGAAACAGTGCCACCTATCGCCTCTTTGCTGCAAAACCAGGCCCCAAGCCTATAGGTTTGTGTAATATTCCTTCATCCTGCTTATTTAATACTAGATAGAGCCCTAAAGTGGTGATTATTATACTATAAATAAGTAATTATGAAATAAATCTCTCAATTTGACTTAATGATTGCTGTCTGGTGTCACCACAACCTCGCTTTTTATCCAATCACATGCCCCTCTCGCAAGCAAGGAAGCTCAACAACTGATACCAAAATTAGATTTACTTAGTTTCTGTTCGATAGAGCAGTGAAACTTTTTAAATTCTACATTGACCTTGTTATATTTGAATTTGTGCTTTTGTGCTCATCAAATTGTATTTTTCTTCTCTCGTTTTAAGAAAAACACAAGGAGACCCTGCAGCGGCTGCCTGACCGAATCACATTCGGATACTGGGTGGATAAGTACCTGGACCACAGAGAGAGGAAGGTTGAGAAGCGTACGATCAAAGCAGAGGAGCAATACGCAAAATGGACCACCTTCAAGGCGAGCAGTGCCAGGCAGTTGTCCCTGCAGCATGACTATTACACTGGAGGATTTGTTTCAGACAGGAACAGAATCCTGAAATCCCTTTTTTAAAACGTACTTATTGTTTCTTTGTTATTGTGATTTTTCGTAATAAAACTGTGTTGATGTTAACATATTAAGCTTTTGTCTTGCATAATTTTAATACCATTGATAGTAGTCCACCTCCTAATAAAGTGCATAACTCTGCCTTCTCTTGGCCAGCACTTCAATTCACAGGAGGAGGAAGAAATAAAAACCAACAAAGAAAGAAGGATGAGACAGTACTCAGTAAATCAATAATTTAAGCTTAAATTAAAACATCATTTATTTTGCATGTTTCCAATAACGTGCAGACATTTGAACAGATTCTTGAGAACTCAAACAAGATGGTAATGGCCAAACAACACACAAAACTAGAATAAACATAAAACAAAATAAATAATTACTAGGTAATACTGTTCAGACGAGACAGAGTGCGCGGGGGGGGGGGACAAAAGGGAGGAAAGGGGAGTAATGTTTTAAAAAAAGGTTCAGTATGTTACAAGGCCACATGCTAGCACAGTAGTGGTAACAATACACGACCCAACACAGCTTCAAAATAGTGTTCTCAGGGAAAATGGTTTTGCATGTATAAATGTTACTCTACATATAAAAGTGTTTTTAGTTGAAGTGCAGTTGTTATAATCCATTCCTTGTTTATGTGGCGGGGATCTGTGGCAGGCCAAACTCGTCCACCAAAACACCATCCTGCAAACGAAAGAAGAAAACATTTGACTGCAATCACGAGCAAACAGACCTTTAGACACACACTTAGATTTGTACAAGTGTTTTTATTCTTTCAGTTGGTGGACGTTAAACAGGATGGATTCTGTCAGAGCAAACAGCTTAAAACAGCTCTAGTTGCACGCGTTTGAGCCCATTTACTACAAAAAAAACTTCACATTGGTGTCAGTTTTAATGGAAGCTGTAGGCGTATGGGTATTAGTAATCAATCACAGTCAACAGCATGCTGCCACTTTGTCAGACTTACTGTATTGATACATGCAATTACAACTAAAAGAGCCTGTTAAGGATAGATTAATTCAAATGGTGTTCTGTTGTGCAATCATTTTGGGAAGCTCAAAGACAAATCCTGATTTTTATACTGTATGTCTACCAACTAGAGTGACATCTGCGCCTTGAGAAGCAGATGACAAACGGTATGCATGCACACTGGTTGCACAATGCCCTGGTGAAATCCCAAAAGGATCTGCAGTTCTGAATCTAATATGTTGGAGCTTCCGTGGATGTGTTTTCAGGGTAATTTTAGGATGAAAATACGATGATGAAAGAGGTTAACGCTGTTGGATCCTTCGCTGTTGGAAACGAGTGGCTGCCTGGAAGGGCGGGAAAACCTAAAAACCTATGTTATGGTTTGACATTAAGTTGTAACTGTAAAATAAAACCACATCATTATTTCACTGTAATCCTACAATCTGGACCTCGAGTGTGACGTTGTGTTGCAGCGATCTCTGTATCTGATCTGAAGACTGTTACCTTGTTTGTCTTGCTGTCGCTGGGGATTCCCTCGGGGATAGACGGAGCAGCTGAGGCCTCGTCCAGGTAGGAGCTGTCATCATCCAGCAGCAGTTCATCACCCAGTGCGTCCAGCTCTGAAACCAGTTACACAGTCACTGTGACACTGTAGGCACTTATTTTGTTTCTGTAAAATACTTTGTGTAATTCGATTATGATTACTGACACACGATTGTTTAATATCAAATCTTTGTGCCTTCAATTTTAAGTGCAACTAGAACAATGTAGCA